ACGCGGGTTGTATGTTCTGGTACAGTGCATACGTGCACATTTGAGGAGTCAGGTACGTGTGTGTTTGTAGACACAAAGCCCGGGGCAGGCTTGGATAAAGTAAAGGTGTGGGTTCTAGGCCCGGGGATTCATCTCGTTTTCCCGGCGTGGCGGGCTGGCCGCCGGAGTTGAGACCATCGACTACAGTACATACCTAGAACGAAACGGACGTTAAGTCCATACTCTTACAGAGCAAACTTGGGTTCCGCCGATGTACGAGGTACTCGTTCGACTCCTCGCAAGCAGGTGGCAGGATAATTCCGCTTTGCCGTACCCATATTTTAGTTTGGGGTTTTCGTCCATCCCAATTCTAATCCCATTCCCAGTTTCATTCCCGTCCATCCATTCATATATATCCTCCTCGTAACATACCTACCATTCTACTCACTTACCTTCCTACCGAGGTACAGATATACATATACCAATATATATTGGGTGTAAGAGTCTGGGATAAATCTATCGATCTATCTATATCTCTCTCTCCATTGTTTTGTCATATCCTCAGTTCCCTCGCAGCGTAAATATCACTATCAGGCCATTTTTGGGTGGTCGACTGCCCGCGCCCGCCTCCGCCTCCGCCGGATCCGACGCACCACAAACACAAAACCTAGCTGGAACTGCTATCGCACTTCCTTGCGAAGCGAGAATTGCTAGTACGTGGGCGACAGAAAAAGGGCAGCGCTCGCGATCAGGTACTCGAGAAATCTACGGCTCTATCGACACGTGCCTTGGGAAACGGATCGAGAATAGAGACGCGGGGACAGTCGCTCGGAACCGTTCTCCTTTTTCCCAACTTGATTACCCTTAGCTGGCTGCTGGGTCGGTTGGTGCGCGGTGACTACTCTCCGGAGGAGAAGAGCATTCTTTTGAGTCTTGTTTGGATTTCCCAACGACAAGGGCGAGAGAAGCAGGAGCAACGGCTCGAGTAGTCTTTTTTCCACAGACAGCGAAGATGACGTCGACGCGCAAGCAGCAGCAGGAGCTGCATCCGGAGCATCCAATTCCGAGGAAATTGTGGGAGCATCCGAATCCCCAGAGCACCGATATGTGGAAATTCAAAGTGAGCTTGGAGAAGGCGAGCGGGCGGAAATTCGAGGTATGTGAATGAGGTGTCGCGACATTGTGCTGCGTTTGCAAATGATGATCTATCATCTCCTTCTTTTGTCGTTCCTCAATCGCTCCGATGCCCGCAATCTGGAATCGGTCTGTCAAGATCGGCACGGAGATGTGGGCTGTCGAGAGAAAAAGTGTCTTCTTCTCAAGGACGCTAGACTCCAGTCCCATCCCAGGGTGAAGACGACAGAGAGATACCCATGTCGACGGCAATGTTTGATTAGGACTTGACCGGGTTTGAGCTGACAGGTACTTTCCACCTCGCAGAATTATGATGCCCTGTACAACTACTCAGTCACCCAACGGGCTGCCTTCTGGCGCCATGTTTTCGACTACTTCCCCATCGTATACTCGGGCACCGTTCCAGAACCCGTCGTCGATGAATCTGCCCGAATGGACTCCATTCCGCGCTGGTTCACTGGCGTGCGCATGAATTTTGCCCAGAATATCCTCTTTTCCGGCGACGAGAATGGACGGCCGGTCATCGACGCGGCAAAAGCCGACAACAAGATTGCTTGCACCGAGGTCCGCGAAGGATGTTTCTTAGAGCCCATCAGACACGTCACATGGAAGGAGCTGAGGCAGCGAGTCGGCAGGTTGAGTCAGGCGATGAGAGCGCACGGCGTGAAAAAAGGAGACCGGATCGCGCTGGTCGCCAGTACTTGTCTTGACACGCTGACGGTCTTTCTCGCGACGACGACGCTTGGAGCCCTCTTCAGCAGTAGCTCCACGGATATGGGCGTCAAGGGTATCCTGGATCGACTCACCCAGATAAAGCCTCGATTTCTGTTCATGGACGACTGGGCTGTGTACAACGGCAAAAAGATCGACCTGCGTGGCAAGATGAAGGACATCATGGCGGGCATGGAAGGCGTGGATGAGTTCCAAGGCATCGTCTCACAAGCTCGCTTCCAGCATTCGCCGGCCGATGTATCGAGTGTGCCGAGAGCCACGACGTGGGCCAACTTCATTTCTGCCGCAAAGTCTGACAAGTTGGAGTTTGAGGACACGGAATTTGCAGACCCTTTTCTGGTGGTATATTCCTCAGGGACGACGGGCCAGCCAAAATGCATTGTGCATGCGATTGGAGGGGTCATTATTTCGGGCCACAAAGAGTATAGGTTGCACAGGCGCATCAATGCGAACTCGAAACAACTGCAATACACGACGACGGGATGGATCATGTATCTGGCCAGTGTGCAGGCTTTGATCACGGGATGTCAAATGATCATGTACGACGGGAGTCCCTTTGTGCCCAACTTGACCAACCTGCTCAAGTTGGTGGCCCAGGAGAAGGTGACGCATCTGGGCATCAGTCCCAGGTATCTGCAAACACTGCAGACGAACGGCGTGGTTCCAAAGAAAGTGGGCGATTTGAGCAACCTCGAGGTCATCACCAGCACCGGGATGGTGCTGTCGGATCAGTTATTCGAATGGGTCTATGACGAAGGGTTTCCGCCTTCAGTGCAGTTGGACAACATCTCCGGTGGAACCGACCTGGCTGGATGCTTTGGGACAGGCAATCCAATTCTGCCACTGTATGTGGGAGGTTGCCAGTGTCTCTCGCTCGGTGTTCCGGTCAAAGTGTTCGACCAGACCGTCGAAGGTGGCAAGGGCGTCGAAGTCGAGGATGGAGTGCCCGGTGAACTGGTCGCATTTCAGGCATTCCCAACCATGCCCATCACCTTTTTGGGGGAGAATGGCCCGCAGCGTTACTTCGACAGCTATTTTGCACGATTTGATAATGTCTGGACACATGGCGATTTCATCATGATCCACCCAGTCACGAAACAAGTCATGTTCTTGGGCCGGGCTGACGGCGTGTTGAACCCCAGCGGCGTCCGGTTTGGTTCTGCCGAGATATACAGCATTATTGAGGCCCACTTTGCAGACAAGATCAGCGACAGCATCTGCGTCGGGCAAAGAAGACCTCAAGACCAAGATGAAAGGGTGATTTTGTTCCTGTTGATGAAACCTGGTCATCAATTCACGCCCCAACTTGTCAGAGAAGTCAAGGAGGCCATTCGAAAGGCTACCAGTCCTCGGCATGTGCCCAAATTTGTCTTTGAGACCAAAGAAATTCCGGTAAGTCCGCTGTATATAGAAAGATCAGTGACGATTGGCTGACATGATGTGTTCTCTAGACAACGGTCAACTTGAAGAAGGTCGAATTGCCGGTGAAACAGATCGTCTCAGGCAAAGTCATTAAGCCGTCTGGAACGCTGCTGAACCCGGACAGCCTGAACTATTACTATCAGTTCGCCAAGGACGAAAACCTGGTTGATCTGTCCGAACCGAGGGCGAAGTTGTAGTGTGGTTGCAGTGGCTGAGCAGAGTGCCAGGCATGTTTAGAGCCGGGAATGCCACAGGAGGTAGAATCATAAAATGTACATTGGGCAATGGACGAGTACGAAACTCAACAGCAGTAGAGGTGAACCCATGCTTCAAGCTGCGACCTTTGGCGGCCATTGATGGCTAGAGGTGACGTGACGTGCTTGCATCTCAGCCTCACTAGCCTTCGTTTGCACCTCCGTTTTACCTTGTCCTCGACGGCTGCATGACGTGAAAGAAGTAGCAGCCATGTTCTCGTCTCAGAGATTGTTTGAGGCCGCGTTCATTGAAACCGACAGCCAGAGATGGCGCGGTGGTTCTAAATTTGCAGGTTCACGATGAGGTGAGACATATGCATCGTGACACTCAGGTATCAGCGACGTCTTCGTCAGGATCGTGGGAGTGGTGAGGCTGGCCGTGTCAAGGGTCGCCAACGTGTATCAACGTGGTGAGGGTCACGGGCGACACCGTGAATGCCTTGATCGGACAACTCCTTTCTGGGACCGATTGGAGGTGGGTTTCCGGTTTGCAGGCGACCAGGCAGCAGGCCAGCTGCAGTAACAAGGTTGAAACCATTGAGGTCACTTTCCGGGCCGCCAAGTCGGTAAATGGTCAGGCCAATGGGAGGCGCGTTTCTCGGCTACTCGTTCGCATACGAGGTGAGGGAGAAGTGAGAATTAACCAACATCCCAAAAGGCGGTCATCATCAGTGCAGTCAAGAGATGAAGGCAATAGAGCACATCAGGTACCAATTTAGAGCCCTCTCTCATCTGGACAGTGAATAAGAACTCGAAAATATTGATGCGCGTGGAAAATTCACCTCGGAAATTGCTGGCCCTCCTCACTTGACCTCCCCGTCGCCCGCCCGTCGCGTCTCTTTTCTCACACAGACTCCACTTGACGCGTCCCCTATCAACATCCTCCCTCATCCCTCTTCCCTCTTTCAACTGCCAACTTCCCTGTCTCTGCACAATCTGCACTTCACTATCCGCCCACGGTCACCTCCAGCAACCCAATCGCTGCCTGAGGACGCGTCGTGATTCTCCTCAGCTGCTCACTGGCCTGCAGTAGCTCCTCAATCTAACCCTACACGCTCTGATTGTTCTGGTCAAATTGACCATCTCTCCCCTCCTGGCCCAGGATCTCGCGTTCACACACCCCGCGTCCAAAACGGCTCCCTTGACTGCGCCAGCTTGGTCATAGCGCCTGGTAAGCTCCCTCAACTTCCATATACCCTCTTCCTCTGCCCTACTGCTGCCCAACGTTCCTTTCCTCTCACAGTTCTTGAGTGATTTCTTATGCAAACCACATCTCCACCCAAGCTAACACGACCGACATTCTCAGAGTCATCAATCGAGGACAGCCACGCATTGGCATTGGCCATTTCCTCCAGACAACTCAACATTGCCTGAAAGGCTGAGCAGAGCACGCACGCATATCAGCCCTCTTGACGCAACTCTGATTCCTCCCCATCATCTCACCTCTACCAGCCAGTCGGAATGGCTGCTGTAGCTCCAATGGCCACGCCTGCTCGTCAGCCGTTTGGCATCTTGAACGAATCCAAGCTGAGAAGCTTGCAGAGTGTGAAGAATCGACAAAATGGTAAGAGACACTCTCCTTGCGTTGGAATCTTGGTTGCAACCAGTGTTTCCTCAATGGAGGCCGATAGACTGATCTCTGCCGTCAGCTCTCACACCAAACTCTGCTCCAACATCCTTGAAGCGCCGAGCCATCTCTCCCGACGTTGACGGAGGCTCAGACGGCGAAAATGTCGACCCAAGCATTCTCGACTCGTTGCACAAACGCAAGAGATCAGCCTTTGGTGATGATGTATCACTCGCAAAGACACATCGCTATTCTTTGAATGTGACTGCTCTCTCGTCCACCCAACATCGTCTTAGTACGGCCCTTGCCTCCACTCCACGTCTTGATACCTTTGTTAAGCCGTCATCGACCCCTGTCTCTGCACCTGCAGCAGGCCGTTCGCCAACGCGTAAGCGCTCTGGTCTTCTTCAGTCTCGGAAGCGTTTCAATCCACCACCCTTCTCTAGTTCGACCCAATCCCCCACTCTCTCCTTATCCGCTGCCCTGAATGGCACAAAGAAATCACGAGTTCAATCTCGCAAGCTTCAGAAGGCTACAATTGAAAGCAGCAAGCCCAAGTCATGGTTCTTCGACATATATGAGGAAACCGAGGAAGTCCAAGACTACCGTATGAACGAATGGACCATGACACAGAGCGCCACAGGGTTGGATATCAGCGATGACGAGAGCAAGAGTCTGCACAAGAAGTCGTCGTCGGTGGATAGAGGCAAGGAGAACATTGATCCCAACGAGGTAACCGTACCCGTGACCAGGTCCATGGCTGCTGCTGCTGCCAACGCCGCCGCGGAAAAGGCCAGGGGGAAGGAGGTCAAGATGAACGACGAACCCAGAAGCCCGCTCGCAGATCTCGATCCTGCGGAGTACTATGGCGAAGGCCTTGATGCCACTAGTGTGGTTCTCGTGCACGACGACGAAGAGGCAGAGACTGACGTGGAAGGCGAAGAGACGAAGCAGCCGCACGATTTCACCTTCCAACCCTCCACCGCCAGCACGTCACTGACGTCAACTGCGAAGATCATCGAAGACCTAAACGCCCCAACACTGGCCGAGATACTGAGCTCTGCCACCCCGAATGCACTCGATAGCACGCTAGTCGAGAAGGCTGAAGCCCCTGGCTACCCTCTTAAACGTGTCCACGCCACTCATGCTGATGCTGATGGTGATGTCGAGATTGAAATCTGGGAAAGCGAGAGTGCAAAGGACGAAAATGAGAAAGCTGATCTTCCGCTCGAGAATGTTGTCGACGTAGGCAGCCCATGCTCGTCTGTTGGGGATCAAAATGTCTTCGCGCTACAGGAGCTGTGAATAGCGGAAACTTCATTCATCTGCTGCGTGTTATGCACTGTGGCTTGTGAAAGTTTCATCTAGCTGATATGCTTGGCATATCATGTCACGATCTCGAAGAGGTATCACTGTGCCGTGAGGTGAAGCAATGTTGCCGGCTTGAGCGGACATTGAGTTTTGTACCAACTCCTGCTTACCGTCAGTGGCCAGCCTGGTTCGGAGGCCGCCGCCATTCGCCAGTGACGACAGGATCACGCCGCCAAACTCCGCGGCACTCCCACTTTCGTGTGTGGACTCGATCAGTAGCTGTTGGTACGACCTCCCTGAGGCCTTGTTCACAGCCTCATCGGAATTGATTTCGGATCTCAGCAGATCCTATCCGTGGGACAATAAATGAAAGGCTCCAAATATCGTGTGGGACTTCTGGGCCGATGCAATGATTGGTTTTTTTTTTCTTTGGTATGTGTTAATGCGGGGTTATGTGTCTGTTCTGTCTGTTCCGGTTTTGGTGGTCTTAAAACAAAAGGCCGGCAGGATCCATTTCATTGACTGGTGTACATCGACCTAAGCAAGATGTTCAGGATGGGAGCTTGTCGGGCGGTTCGGGTTCTGGTAAAATCACGGAGACATGGAGGTCCAGACCACTCGGGTTTCTTTGGTTGTTGGCGTCAGCTTTTCCTAAGGAGTTACCAGGTCACCAAAGTCACATTGATTACTTGTCTAGTAGATGGGTGTGGTTACCTACATACCTATGGACCGATGTACCGAGTCCTCGGGTATTCAGTAGGTATGTTGTCTAGATGCTTAGATGGGGTACCTAGATCAGACGGAACAGAAGAGGCCTCTAGAAACAACCGAAATTGACTTGTTCGTCCACGAATGAACGAATATCCAGTGTCCTTGTGACCAACCGTTGACGGGTATACTTGGACTTTGCTGAGAATTGCGGCTCGGTCAGCATAGTTATCTAACTCTCCTACGCCGTTTCAATTGACTTATAATCTCGCGAGGTGAAGCGTTGGGTGTAACACAGAGAGCGGGGGCAGAGAGAATGTGTATGTGTATTGCCTCGACCTTTTTTTTACTGTCATGCCTGCATGTTTACTCTTCATTCGTGTGCTATATATCCAGATTCAGATTCCAACGTATTACGTCCCATAAAATATAATCCCATGAAGGATTACTTTTGATGTTGGGTTTTTCCTCTCTCGATCTTCCCACTCCCCCCTTGTCTTGACATTCAAACGCAAAACGGGTAGATAGATAGATACCATTGTTATGTCAACGCCAGGATCAGAGTCGACCAGACGTGACCACGCAACGCAACGCAGCACAGCAAAGCACAGCAGAGGAGAAAAAGGGAACCCACCCACTTTCAAACCAGGCTGGGTCTTGAAAAGCGAGACGAACTAGTTCATCGAGGACATTCAAAACTCAACATCATCACAGTCCAAGTCGAGATCGATGTCGCCGTCAGAATTGCCGTGCGCATACCCATTGACGGCGGCAGGTCCGTGTCGTCGGCTGTCTGAGCGTGGGTGTGGGACCCAGAGTCGTCGACGACGCGTGCATAGGGTGTCACTGTCGCCGTTGTGGTCGTCTCCCTGGTCGTCGATATCTCCGTCTTCCGTGATCCCCTTGCCGCCATTCTCGCACGTGGTCTCATCGTCCTTGTTATTGCCATTGCCATTGCCATTCTCAACGGGACCAGATCTCGGCAGGGTTCCGGCTCCTGGCTCGACCGTGGATGATGGCGTTGGTTCCTCACGCGTAATCTCGTCGGAGAAGCCGTTTTGAACGCCCATCATCTTCTGCTGATGCTGCTGCTGCTGCTTGGGTATTTCGTTTTTCTTGCATGAGGATAATCCCGCCGTCTTCCCGCCATCGCTCGACTCCGTGCGACTCTCGTCACACCCCACCACTTCTGCCATCACTGCGTCCTTGTTCACTTTTGGCTCGACCTTTTTTTGAATCTGCTCGTCCCTCCATTGGACCACGTCCGCGACTGCTTGCGCGGGATACTTCTTCCGGACCAGGAGAAAGCCTTGTATCTCAGCGGGCGAAAGGGTCCGGTCGGGGAGAGAATCGGCGAATCGCTCTGCCAGGTCGAAGACTGCGCTGCTGTTGGAAGCTTCCCTCGATAGAAGTCGTGGTTTTGGGGGGTCCTTGTGGTTGTTCTCGAGGCCATCGGTCTGATTGCCCTCTGTGCCCCAGTCTGTGAATGTGCTTGAACCAGGCCGGTCGGTTTCCGCTTGGTTCGGCAATATATGGCTGATCTTGGTCGGCTGCCTTCGCATCTCGATTGAGTCGGCACAGTACATCCGCAGAAAGAGATCCTTGATCTGCTGCTTGGTCGCCAGGTCAAACTTGATGGTCAAGTCAATCCGACCGGGCCTTGTCAGTGCTTCATCCAATCTTTCCACGTGATTGGTGGTCATGATGAGGACCCGGCCTTCCTGACTTGCAACACCATCTATAGCATTGAGGAGGCCTGCGAATGTGAGCGTGTTCTTGAATGTCGGTTCTTTGCTGACCGAACCAGCCTGATCTGTTGCCTTGCCTGTAATTCCGGAGGTGTCGTCTTTGTCGTCTTTATTCTCGGCAGGGGTTTTCTTGTCCTGGTTATTTCCGCCAGATGGTAACTGGTCTGTTGTCTGTCGCTTTCCTACATCGTTCGAGCCTGGTGCCCTGCCTAGACCAGCGGTATCTATATCCTCAAGGAGTAGGATACATCGTTTTGGGAGGCTGTTAAAGAGCAGGATCAGGTCTTCTTCGGTCAAGGAAGCCTCAGACAGTGCGAGGCAGTAGATGTCAAGCCCAAAAACTCCAGCAAGGGCAAAAGACAATGAAGTCTTGCCGGTGCCTGGCGAGCCGTGAAAGAGGTAACCTCGACGATACGGGATCCCGCGATTGCTATACCATCGCGCCGTTCGCGGGTGCAGGAAGTCGTTGAAATCTTTCAAAATAGCCGCCTTTTGCTCGTTATCCAGTACGACCGTGGCCATTGATCTGCTCGGTCTGTTGGCGATAGTTGTCCATGCTTGTCCACGTCCAGATCTCTGAGATTTTGGGGTTGGGCGCTTAATTGTGGTTGTGGACGTTCGACGTATGAGATGAAATTCTCGGGCCTCCTGAATCATGGTCTTGATCGGCTGAGGAGACAACCAGATCACTGAGATCTCAAGCCGTTCTCTTTCGTACACGGCGCCGGTGTATTCGCTGGCAACCCGATCGCGATTTCGATATAGTTTGAACAATCGATAACTGTGGAAGAACCAGCCCGAAGAAGAATGAGGTCGAAAGGTTGGCGGGGCCCGGGCAGACCAGTTATTGAAATTAAAGATGGTATCCTCGGGCATGCCTTCCCGGAACTGCTTCTGCAGGGGGTCATCCTCTTCGTAATCTTCCAGGCCGTCGTAGTATTGCCCTGCCGTATGAGCGCGGAGGGAACGGATATTCTGCAGATACTTTTGGGCGCTGGCCCAGTTGAGGACATGGTCGTAGATGGGATCATATTCTTCCACAATCACCGATGAGGTGAGCGCTTTCAAAACAATTTGATACGCAGGTATCAGGCCGAAATGGAGGGCTGCCCATACTGTAGCCAGGATGGCGCCCCACGAGACAAACAACGAGACATCGAGACCAGATCCAAGCAGGAGTGAAGCGAGGTGAGAAGAACCAGGAACCAAAGTGTCGAGAAGAGTTAATGGTAGGCGAATAGAACCAGAAGAAACACTGCAATCAGACTGGGTAGGTAGTGCCATTTGGAGTGTGAGGAGAAGGGGAGACAAGGAGACAATCTGGGTAAAAGGAGGAATGAAGTTACGGGCGATTGAAACGTTGAAATAGTCAATGGCTTGGGTTGTACTCGGCACATGTTGTGGGTTTGTAAGGCCTCGAGGGCTTGCATATGTGGACTCGAGCCTAACGTTTGCCAGGTCCTTTGGTCTACGGAGCCTGGATGGGAGCCTGAACAAAACCCAATCGTTGTGAGTAACAATGCAGGATCCCGACCGTGATGTCACCAATTTTGCCAATTCGGTTGGCCCGTTGGGTCCACAAACCTCGTGTCGTCAGCCTCACGCAGAGAATACTCCATGACGCCGCGAGATCAATTCTCTTTGCCGATCGGACGCTCTTGAGCCATGAAAATCGACTTCGTGCGAGGAGGGAGATGGTCTCCCACGAGATATCACGAGATATAGGCAGAATTGCCCTTTCTCAGAAAGACACGGCGAAGGATGTGCCGTAAGAAGGGCATCGAGGTGCAGAACTAGGCCAGTTCTGTAGCAAACGAGTTGGGGGTGCAAAGTTCGAGTGAGGCTCAAGGATACGAACAAGCGCCCTGCTTTTGTCCAATCGTATATGCGATCCGAACATGGCAGTTCAGCCGACTGGTGCCAAGAGTGCGGGGCTTCTCGACTAAGTTACCCAAGATAAATGACTGGCAGAGTGTTGTGAGCGTTGATCCGTGCGGAGCTAGCAAGCCACGTGCTGCTACAGGTCCAGAATTTGACTGTGCCACCTCTACATACGTCATCCGGTGGCTTATCCAAGCTCAGAGCATGGCCTTCTCAAGACTGGAATGGTGAACATTTGGTCTTTAGCTCTGTAAGATTGTGATGATGTCGAGGTCGCTATATGCTGGATAGCTATAGTAAAGATATTATCCTCCGTGATCCAAACCATACGATAACCACATACTAACTAGACAGGGTTCCTCCCAAGTATATAAAAAATTCGCTCAGCCATAACAAACAATACCACCTGGAACGTTTTGCTCTCGCCTCCAAAATCCGACAATAACTAGTGCTGTGTACCGTCAAGCTCATAGGGTATATCATAGTGCCTGAATGCCATCATCGCCAGTTGAGTGTTGCTGAAACCTCTCTGCATGTATTAAACAGCCTTTTCCCTATACCGGTGCTTCATAATCTCATATTCCTCATCATACTGTGAGCGGCCGTCTCAATTCTTTGCGCTCTACTTCCAAGAATCTCGCATTAGTCCAGCCGTTGGAACTCTCCATCATGATGGAGAGTCTCCTCCCATCCCATGGCTTCAAAATATCTGTTGCGGCAAAGCCCGTAGGTAACGTCGTGATCCATGTCAACCCGGCTTTGCATAGGGTGCGCGAAGTAATATGCTCCGTTGAATTGGAAGGCCTTACTGGATACCCTCAAAAGTGCCCTCAGCCTCCGATCGGCCACCTCCTGCTGTTGACGACCACTATGCCAATGGTCCTTGAGTCCCTCCAGTACCGGGACGACGCTGCCAATCAAGGACATGATTTGGCTCTCATGGCCCATCAGAGTCGATACTGGGCCGGTGGCTGTGACGACATCCAAAGCAGCGATTATGGCGAAGCCACTGAAAGGGCTCAACATCACAAACTGGTGAGAGTAGTCGTGCTTGTCATCGCCGTGCTCGCGCAGTCTCTGTACCAACCCAAGCGTGTGTCGAGCGTGATCGTGGACACGCTTTACACATACGCTAACCCGTGACCGATCCATCTCCGCATAGTCAATGTACCGGTTCAGTACCATGAGGGTGTAGTGATAAATAACGTAGAAGCCGCTGACTGTCTCTCGTCCATCTTGATCTTGAAGAGCTTGTCTCTTCATGTGGTAGTCCCACGTCTTAAGTCGAGCTCCAATGTCGTTACGGAAGGTGCCCATCGTTGATCGATCTTTCCCCGGAGACTGCGTTTTTCCTCGGTTGACAGTGCTCATCACCTCACTGAAGATAGCCGCAATCTCTACCAGATAGCCAAAAGAGCCGACCTCGGATGATTCGAGAGGAGTACCGGGCCGACTACCTTGGTCATCCTTGGGCGCTTCAAGTATAAATGGGGCCAAGGGAACGTGTCCCGCCTCGTAAGCCGCCTCAGCACAAGGTAAGCGTAGGTGGCAATCAAATCGGTTAACAGTAGTAACAGACGCGGACCAGCAACGGCTGAAGCTGTCCAGCAGATAGGCAGCCCAGAACGTCCTGCGCCGGCATTCAACCAACATTTCCTGAGACAAACCGAGGTCCAGTGGATCCTGACCCTCGATGGTCGACACTCCCTCTTCTGTATTGTATCTCAAGCCCAACGCGGTCCGTAGGGCAGACCCACAATGGTCACTTGCACGATTGTATTGGCCTTGAGAAAAAGCGAAGAGACCCAGAATTAGTTTGGTCTGAATCAATTGCAGGCTGAACATATCACCATTCTTTATGATGGCTTTATTGACAATCTCGAGGAACACGTCTTGGTGGTGCTTCGATTGTGGTTGCCTCGATGCGAAGACGGTTCCCATTGCCAGAATAGCATAAAGCAACATCTTGTCCGCCAGTGATTTGGTCTGGTGGGAACGGATCCATGGTCGGAAAAGTTCTTTGGGGAGGATATGATACGTTACGCCGTCAACGTGCTCGAAATACTTGTTCACGTAGTCCCATGTCAGACTGCGGTTCAATTGATAAGGGTCCAAGTCCCAAGAGAAGTCGGAGACGACTGACGGCGAAGAGATGGAACCGACAACAGATTCTGTACCCGAACTGGCGGACAACTGGCCCTGAGATCTAGGGCGAGGAGATGGAGAAACGCGAGGCCTCTTTGCTGGTGGTTGGTTGTCTGACACATCCTCGTGGCTGATCTGTTTGCCGGAGGTGGCATAGAGCATGTCGTCTAGGGGCATTGAAGACCTTGATGTGGATGCCGAGTAGGCATGCTCCTGGGAGCCCATGTCCACAGAAGTCGTTGACCCTCTGTGGTTTGGATAATTGTCTGGGTTCTGATTGGTGATTTTATATCTCGAGATTGAGGGCATCGACATCGGAAACGCTGAATGTCGCATCGTGGCACGTGGCCTGCACAGAAATCAGCACTGAAGATAATGAGTCTAGGAATTACTTACGCTGAGCCAAATGTGCATTCACGGTCGATGCTCTTGCACATCGTGCATTTGGGGAATTTAAAGTCACATCTCATCTTCCTCTCCCGGCATCCATCGCAAGCCTGGCCATTGCGCTTTTTAAGGTTCGTTGATCTCGAGGAGCTCCACGTGGAGCTGAGGCCATCACCATCCGAGTTCTTGGAACACATGGAGTCCTTCTCATGGGCATGACAGCTACCTGGCGGGTCGACCAATTCTTCTTCCGTGGTCGCCCGACCAGGTCCATGACTGGTACTTGCTGCACGAGGGTCAGGTGTAGCTGTATGAACTTCCGATCGACTTGTGTTTGGGTAGGCCCAGGCGCGGCCATTCATGGGATGAGACTGGGAAGGTGAGGATTGGGCCATGGCGAAAGCAGGTGTGGACGGATGCACATCGGAAGCCGTGGACATATTTGGTTGAGCAGCATGTCTGCTTGCAGGAGTGCTGCCAGGCAATGCCTGTTCCCTTCTCACCTGTTCCTGTGGAGATTGGCCAAACAAAGCGGGATTGCCAGCCCCGGCCAGGAGTGAACTGAAGGAGGGTAGACTTGGTTGTTGTGAAAGAGAGTCTCGCGCTGGCGGCTGAGCCATTGAGCCCGGAAGCCGGCTTGACGAGTCCGCTAGGGTTTGACAGAGCAATAGGTTTGATTCAGGCTCGTGCCACTCTTTCACTCGCGATTCCAGAGGTAGCACAACACCCGTTGCCATTTGCCCACTTTTTGGGTGCTATATGCAGTATCGTAGAGCGCGAAGGCCCCTATACCCCAGGCACACCAGTCTCCCGACTTTGATCGAGAGTGGGCCGTCGAGCAGCGAACCTTCTGAGTCCGACCTGGTAGAGGAAGACACAACTTGTGGGTTGAATGATTTGTTGAGGGCAATCTGTGCTGTCACCAAACCCTCCTCTGCCTGAAAGTGGTCCTAGCAGGCTGAATGTTTGCGAGAAGTGCTGTTGTCCTTCAGAGCCGGGCACCAATGATTGCTCAAGACGTGCCTCATGGCAACAAGGCCACTAGAATGGTCGCCGTGAGTTACACAGCACGCGGTAGGTTGGAATGAACGGCGGGTGGCTCTTAATGCAGATATTGTGTCACCCCAACAGTGCTGCCCTGTTCCATGTGCCGCAGATGATTCCTCGACCCGCAGCCCTGGCGACTCTACGGAGCAACTGGCCGTGTGTTGGCGAGGATGTGTGTAAGCTCTGGCTGTTTTACTGCAACGGACGAGGTGTCAAATAAACCAAGATGCGAATGATAGAACTCCGTTGACAGATTTAATGTAGCCTGGTGTACAAGATGGAGCTGGACCGTTGTGTGTAACCCCAGAGCCCTTCAATAGATTCAAAGAACTTTTTTTCCTTTGGAGCAGAGATGGAACAAATGGAAGTGGAGAAAGGGCCTGGAGTGCGCACAAGGTGAGAAAGTCTGTCGCGTGCGGTGTAAGCGTGGAAGAGGGGTTGGTTATCTACCTAGGCAGATACTAGGTAGCGCTGCTCTGACCAAAAGAACCAGGATCAGATCAGATGAGATTTACGGGAGGCGAAAAAGCAAAAAGATGTCCTTGTCATGAACCGTTCTTGAGAGATGTGCGCTGATTTGTGGTTTTCTGTGGAGGGCGGGCACGACGAGTTGACGGGCTGGACGGATAGACCTAGGCCTCTAGGATCGGACAGTTAGGAGTCAATGGGGGATGGCGGCCTCGTGGGCCGCTTGCATCTGTGTAACTCTGGAGGCTACAAACCAGCGTAACGCATGCCATCTGACCCTTGCCGATCGCTTACAGGGATAATGAGCGCTAAATTGTGACGGGATTGAGGTGGACTGAGGGCGGGCCGGAGGGGGG